TTGCTTCTCCTTTTATTACAGCTTCTTTTGGTCCCTCAGGAGATCTCCTCTCAGAAGAACACAAATTGCACATCCTCTGTCTGGTGTTGAGTTGTTTAAAGTTCCCTGTCTTCTTCTACCAGCGGTCGTTTTTATATAAATTGTGTTCTAATGTAATCTGCCTCTTATTTCTTTCTTGGAGAACATTAACAACCTTTTAGCTTGGGAGAGTACAGAAAGTGTTCCTTGCACATTCACTCTTTAACAAGTATTCCGCTCCTCTTTAAGGATAGTCTCTTCTGACACACGTATAGTAAACATTTCCCAGTAATTTTCCATGATGGCAGGCAAGCATTAGGGAAATTGTGTAGTTGGCTAGCAACGGCGATAAATTCTACCAACCCTGTGCCATAAATGTTCGCTAGACCATCTTTAAATTCCTTTATCCAATTGATGTTACAAGAATGTACCTAAGACTGGAAATATCATAGTTTACGTAGAAGACTCTCGGGTTTAGCCTATTGCAGTCTATATAAAAGGTAGAGGTTTTTTGATGGTTACAAATGTAATTGTTTTGGTAAGTGTCTGCAAGGAACCTTGATTGTTCGAAGGCTGGATCCTGACTTGAAATTATACATGAACAGTAAAACATTTGATGGTTTTGATGTATTATGCTTTATAGGGTCATCAACCTTCCCTCCTTGTTGACTGTGATTGCAACAACTGACATTTAACTGGGCAATAAATTTATTAAAGGGATAGTTAACTCTCTTAATAAGGATGCAGAACCCCTATCATGTTTTCCTTCACTGAACTTATTTAAAAAGTTAAGTAATTCCAGATGGTATCTCATGTGTATTTGGCTTTGAATTTCTTGTTTTCTCACATATTTGCCAACATAGGTTAAGTATTCAAGACTTCCAGGTCCCTGAAGAACTGTTCAGCCATTGGATTCACAACTTTAGGTTACTGTGGTATATTTGACCTTCATTTTGCAAATTATTTTCAGTCTTTGGCATTCAAAGATATTGTTAAAGTTTTCAATGTACTTGTAAAAGAAGGATCTGTAGGGCTGTGGTGTGAGTCTGTGAATCATAAAAAGCATATCTCTTGAAAGCTTTTTAACCTGACAGGAGATATGAGACAACAAGTAGTATATAGTATATTCACAAACTCTGGCATGTGTAATGTACAAAACTATCTTTTAAGTGGCCCTTTAGCAATAGAGAAATGTGTTTCTTTAATAGTATTGGAAAATGTCCAGTCCAATACACAGAATGCTCTTTTGTCTATAACATAACTTATGTATAAATTCTTAAATATTCAAATCATTTTTCCAAAAAATATTTAGAGCATACTTATGTGCCAGGCACTATTCTCAGTGTTGGTTTTATAAAAAATGAATGTTATATTTATCCCTTTGAAGAGCTTTGTAAAATGTGGATAGTAAATAAGAAAATAAATAATTAGAGTCTAATGCGATAAGTTCTAGGATAGAATTCTGTGGAAAGGGACAATTGCTGAAGAGGTAATGATTATTTTGTGCTGTGAAGCTGGGGGTGTATTCATAATGAGGAAATATTTGGGGTTCTTAAATATTGGACGATAGTATACTAGAGAGAAAACATACAGAATGGGCCCAACAGACGGAGCAGTGTAGTCAAAGGCATAGATGTGGAAAACTAAAATTTATTTAGAATCAGGAAGTCTGTGTTGATGGAAAGTAGTACATAGGGGATCAGGGGTTACAAGAGGGGCAGGTGACAGAGATGGATGTGATCAGGTATCTGGATGGCAATGAGATTGATAAGAAGAGAACTATTTCTGAATTTTTTTAAAGATTATTCTCAACAGAAAATGTTACTTAGGCAGATGTAGGAGAGGTTAGACTATAAACAGGCTTATTTATTGGATGTTTGCACTGAAAGATGATAAGCCAGGAGTAAATATTCAAAAGAATTAACAGAATGACCAATGAACCATTTTTGATTTTTCTTTTAAGTTTAGAAATAATTATAGATCCATGGGGCCCTGCAAAAGTAGTGTGCAACATTCATGCAGTTTTCCCCAATGGTGACATCTGACAAAACTATAGTGTGTTATCAAAATCTGGAAATTTAGATTGCTTTCATTCATGGACCTCCTTCTTTTAGATTTCATAAGCTTAATATGCACTGCTACATGTGTAAGCATGTATGCATGTAGAATGTATATAGCTTTATTACATGCTGTTTCTTGTGGTTGTCTTCACAATCAAGGAGTAGGACCATTCTGCCACCACAAAGATCCCTTGTGCTGTCCTTTTTCAGTTATGCCACACACACACACACACCCCCCATAGCTTTCTCCATGAAACCCTTGGCAGTCATTGATATGTTTCCATCTCTATAATTGTATAAATTCTGAGAATATAATATAAATGAAGTCATGTGTTATATATTAGTATTGACTATTATCCCATGGATGAATTTACCAAAATTTTTTTAATCTTTTACACATCGATGGACATCTGAGTTTTTGATTATTACACATAAAAATGTTAGGAACATGCATATATATATACTTTTTTGTGTATGGAATTTAATTTTCTTTGGTGTGATTTTCTGTGAGTGTAATTTCTGTATTGTAGGTTTAGTGTATTTTTAGTGTTTAAAGAAATGGACAAAACTATTTTCTGTGATGTGTTTTCAGCAGCAATATATGAGTTGTCCTGTGTCTTTGGTATTGTCACTGGTTTTCATTCTATCTGTTCTAATAGGTTTGCTGTGATTTCTCATTGTGATTTTAACTTTCATTTCCCTGATGGCAAATGATGTTGACCATCTTTTTTTTAGGTGATACTTCTTTAAAAAATACTTTCTAATAGAGTTTATTTTCCATTTCTTAAAAGTATTTTACTGAAATACGGTATACATACCAAGAACTGCATGGAAGTGTACAGATAAATGAAGTTTATCTTTCTTCTGGTCACACCCACATTAAGAACAAAACATCACTAGTACCCCAAGAATCTCCACTATTCCTGAATTTCTTTTGCTTTTAATGTGGGAACAGAGAGCATACTGGCATTTACATGGCATGATGCAGTGAAGCACTATTTATGACTATATACCAAATGATAGGACATCCATATAAGTTTTATACTCTCTATATTAACTATAACAAACAAGAAGAAATGTGATATTTTTCCTTTTTTGGATCTAGCTTATTTCTCTTGGCATAATAATCTATAGTATCTATTTTGCATCTGTTTTGTTGAAAATGTCAGGATTTCATTTTTTATGGCTCAGTAATATTCTATCATGTATATATACCACATTTTCTTGATCCAGTCATCCATTGATGGAAATCTAGATTCATTCCATGTCTTAGTTATTGAAAATTGCGCTGCTATAAACATGGGACTGCAGGTATCTCTTATATGATGATTCCATTTTCTTTAGCTATATTCCAAGAAATTGGACAGCTGGGTTGCATGATAGGTCTAATTTTGGTCTTCTGAGGAATTTTGTAATTTTGCAATTGTGAACTACTCTTCTTTGGCGAGATGCTTCTTTACTTCTTTTGCACATTCTCTAAGCAGAGTATGGTGCTCACTAGTACCACTTCTTGCTGCCTTGCTGGGCCTCCTGTACTCAACTTCAGCGGGGTTAGGGGAAATTGGGGGAGTGGAGTCCAGAGTAGTACTGCCTCATACTGACTTGCTAAACCTTGTTGCTACTTTGTGCGAATAGCACTTTAGCTTTCCACATGGCCACATTGACACCAAGAAGGGCACAGTTTTTCATTTGGTGTTTGCCTAATACTGGGCAGGTAATAAGAAAAAGGTTTTCTCATCAGCCAGACTACCCTTTCTCTCGTTCTTTGACTGGAGGGAGGTAGAAAGCTCTTCTTGTCTATTTTTTCACTCGTGTCTGCTAGTGGTTCCAGGTTTCAAGCTTCTCCAGCACCCCATATGGCATAAGTAGAAGGGAAATAGAAAGCCCAGGGAACTCAACAACATTCTATTTTCTCAAGTGGTGAGGTAGCTGGCCAGCCTGTCCCCTTTCTGGTCCTTCACTGCCATTATGCTTAGGAATTCCAGTTATAAGAGGGAGGACTGGTAAGCAATGGGGCGATTCCATGTTTATGTCCTTGTTGCTTTTTAAATACTTAGCGCCCTGCTGTAGGTTTCTGGGCCTCAGAATGGGGTCATTGACCAGGATATCATGGGTGAAATCTTGGGAGCTGCTTCACCTTTGGAGCTACTGTTTTATCTAGAAATGAAACTTCTGGCTCTAAGATCATTTGTTGAGCTCAATAAAAATGGTTTAAGTGACAAAAATAATCAGTTTGCAGGGATTAACAAATGAACCAAAGATGAGGAAAGAAGTCAGTATGTCTTCAAGATCCTGCATTAAAAAGTGTAGGATGGTGAAGGGATTTGGGGATATGTTTGGTGTTGGGGGATAAGTGAGAAGTGCAGATTGGAAAGAAAATAATTTTAACAAATTTGTTTTTGTGGTTGGACTGAGAATGCAATGTTAATAAAGAGTGAGAAATGAAAAGGCAGATTACAGACAGTAATGTTGGTCACACTGGAGTATGAGGTTCTAGCACAAGTATAAAAACTGTTAGGAAAGAGAACTTCATTCCTTGGAGACCTAGTATACTCCCAGCTAGCAATAATCTTAATTGAGCAAATGCCACTTTAAAATGAAAATCTTGCATCCTAGAGAATATTATAAACAGCCAAAATAACAAGAAAGGAAAACTGTATTGTTTTAAACCATGCTTGAATGAATAAATGTTTTGCAGATCACCAATCGTCAGTGACATTATTTGGAAGATTTGGGGATGATCTGGTTTGCATTAAACATATTTACACTTTAAAATGCCTTATAAATTAAGTCAAGCTGTACTACAAACAGATGCTAAGAAATATGAAAATATATAGATTTTTTGCTGTGTTAAGATACTTGTTATCTAAAGAATATAATTGACCAGAGTTTGAAAAACTGCTTGGCTTTTGTTTTTTCCAGAGAGCTCAGTCAGATGAACTGGAAAAAATTGAAAAGCATGGCCGATCCTCTAAAGACAAGGAAAACGCCAAGTCTCTGGATAAACCGGAACAGTAAGCATGCCTTAGGCCTGTGGCAAGGGCACAAGGGCTACGGGTGGGCCCTCTGTCCATTTGGAAAATGCAGTCTTCAGTGCATACCTGTCATGAATGAGATGAGGATCAACATCTGTTCATATGAATTATATTTTTCCTCTTAACTTGGCTTTATTTCTTTAGGTTCCTTTATGAACTGTCACTAATCCCCAACTTTTCAGAGCGAGTCTTTTGCATCCTGTTCCAGTCCACGTTTTCAGAAAGCATTTGCTCAATTCGTCGCAAACTGGAATTATTACAGAAATTGTGTGAGGTGAGTTTTGGTCCAAAATGAATTGAACTTGAATTCTGATTATTTAATTTGTTCAGTTATGTTCATGTTTCAAAGAAATTTATTTTATTTAAACTCTTTATTAGAAGTGAGGGATAGTAGTCCCACAAAAGGGACCATTTTACGGCTATGCTTTCAAGATCAAATCACATGTTCAGGTTGGCGCATGGATTTGCAGTACCGTGTTGGGCGAGTGTGGCCAGTGTGTGTTGGCCTCTGGAGAGCTGTCTTCCATCAGCTTTTGCCAAAACAAAATCTTTACTTTTCATAGTCCTTTCAGATATCAGACTTCCAAATGAATGAGATTTGAAGGCATTTTATTTACTTCCCTTCATTTTTGGCAGGGTTTTGCAAATTGTTAATAATCATTCCAACCAAATCATTTAGGGACAGACAGCCATATGGCTCAACAGAAGATTAATATTCTTCTGAAAACAGACTAAGTGCCTGGAAGAAATGACCATTATTAACATTTAAAACAATTTGTCAAAAATCAATAGTACCATTCGTTCTGGTCGTGGTAAATCATTTTGAAAAGTGGGATGATGTTATCAAAGACACATTTTCAGAGGAAGTGACATGGAAACTGAAGTTAAACTTAGTATTTTTGGAAGAAGTGTATGTGAACTTTTTGGGAGTAAACCTAAATTTGAAAATCTTCTAACTGCCTTTTGGTTTTCTACAGTTTCTTCCAAATATTTGTGTTGTTCCAGACATACACATGACTAGGATGATGGCAATGATATTGTTTTATAATAGTTGTCCTATTACAACCTTATTTAATTTCCTTGCAATTAAATAGTAGAAACAGCCTAGAGTGGCATCTCTCAACTTACAAAAACATAATTAAATACTTGCTGGTGGTACAACGTTTTAAAGTTTTAAAGACTGCTCTTAAAATATACTTGATAATGAGGGATGGGAAAGTTTGGTTTTGAACCAAGACTGTTAGTATCATGTGAATAGCTGGCAATGACTTTGGATGATTCAAACAAAACTTTGTATAAGAGAAAAATTGTTATTTATCATGTTTTACAGACGTTAAAAAATGGTCCAGGGGTTATGCAGGTTCTGGGTTTGGTTCTTGCCTTTGGCAACTACATGAATGGTGGAAATAAGACTCGGGGTCAGGCAGATGGTTTCGGATTAGACATTCTGCCGAAGCTGAAAGATGTCAAGAGCAGTGTAAGTATTTTGTACAAATGGATGTAGGCAAATTCAGATTAGGTATTTTGTCTAATAATTGGTCTGACTCTAAGCTAGATGTAATAAGTATTTCTTTAGGTTCCAAAGTCTGGCTTGAGCCAGATAAAAGTAATGGCTATCAGATACTTGTGATTTAGTGAATAATAATGTTTTTTAGAATAATTTTGAGTTCCTTGTCTAGTGAATGATTATGATACTTTAAAATTTAAGTTTTTTTTTTTTTCACTCTAACCTGTCTGCTAATACTTATCCTTTTGGAACCTGGGAGCGAGCTATTTTCTGTGAATTAGACAGCCTTATTTGTTATTTTCATCTCTGTGTTTAAGAATGAAGGCCAAGAGGTGCATGTTTTGAAAACAAAACAGACATGAGTGATTGCAAATAAGTCATCAAAAATATTCTGCTTTTCTACATATATTTTTTCTGATATTTATTTGTATGGGAATGTCTAAGCCTAATTATTTTTTTATCCTGCATCTACAATTGTGTTTGTTTTAAAATTAATTCAAGAGATTACAGAGTGATAGCATGGGATACTGGTCAGAGCCACAGACTAAAGTCTGGGATGGTAAACAGAAAATAAGAGTTCTATTTCTCTGATAAAAAGAGTCACCAGATGAAATAATATGATGCAGGAATTATGAACATGTTTTTAAAACATTAGGTTTCAGTAAATAATTGGCTAGGAATAGAAATAAAAATGTATGGAATTGTCCTTTCAGGATAATAACATAACCCCTCATAAAAGAGAAAAAAATTTGATCTTTTATGTCAGTGGAAAATCTTAATTTGTGGATATGTGTGTATGTGTTTTCATTCAATATTCTTCATTGAACAGCTATGAGTATGAAATGCCAGATTCTATGCTTTTCAGAAATTCCATAACCCATAGTCCTTTCCTGGTATACCAGTAATGTAAGATGATACTTCACAAAGTTCATGGAAAGATGGAATACAAAAATAAGTTTACTTTGGAGCAAAGTGTTTTGAAATTCATGAATATAACTTCTATTCAAAGAGTTCACAAATCTGTGCCTGGGTTTCAATTTTTTACACCAAAAGAGACTTAGCTTTTAATTCTATTTCCCATGAACTTTTTGAAGTATCCTCATAATTTCTGTGATTTTAACGGTTGTTCAGATGCTATTATATTTGTATGATACGTATTTTCATACAAATCTCCAACATGTAGACCTGCTTTTTATTAAAAAACTAGAGCTCTTTTTTAAACATATGGTAGTTCTTGAATAGTTCTCAGCAAATTCTTATTGGATTGAAATAACTTTTGCAAATGACATTGGAGTATAAATAGGATCAGAATAATGCTCAATCTAAAAAAATTGATCTAAAATATAATCCTGTTATAGTGGTATATGAATAAAGGATTGTTTTTTGTGTTTTGTTTCATGTTTTATTCAATTCTCCATTAAGTCAAATTTTATATATTTAAACAAATAATTAAGGATAATTTAAAATAAAAATAACCGAGGCAAAAGTGTTTTTTATAATTTCACTTGAACTCTCAGAAGAGCTATGAAAAGTCTCCATGAATTGGTTCATTGTTTACAAAAACAGTGTGACTATATCTCTTCCTCAGTTCTATTAGCAGACTTTTGAGGACAAAGCTGTTCCTCAGATCATTTAAATTTTTCTCTGTATGCCTATCAGCAGGCCTTTGATATATGTTTTAGTAATTGATTTGTAGACTACTAACTGTTTCATTGGTTTACAAGTTAGAAGAAAAAAAAAAGTCAAATAGCTTGAATTATTCTGTTCAAAAAAATCTGACTTATGATGGAAGTCTTAGTACATGTTACTTTATCCTGTCAGGATTGTGAAGGGATATCCTTCTCTATAAATAGTCATGGTTATGGTTAAATCAAACATCACAGAGAGTACAGTTTGCATAACAGGTTTTGTTTATATATATATATATATATATATATATATATATATATATATATATTACAATCTCTCTCAAATGCATATTTTCTACTACTAAGTTGGATAAAAGGAAAAATTTTGTTAAAAAATTTCAAATTAATGCCTCTAAATATGCCAGCAAGGAGATGAAAAAGTATTCTTGGAAGACTGTTAGATATGAAAGAATTTGACATATTTTTCTATGGAACTGAGCACATTATCTTGTTTATAGCCTCACAACTATTAGTTTACCACTTACAGTTGCTGATATAATGAATTATAATATTTTGTGGTATTTTAAGAGCTCTCATTATATTTAGCCTTTTAATTTCCCTACTCTATTTGCTAATGGGCCTCAATTAAGCTTAGTTTTATAGTGGTACCTGCTAGTCCAACTAGATATAAATGTAAGCAATATTTAATTATTTCTTTTAAGATATTAATTACAGAAAATGAATGTAATGAACCAACAAAAATTTAAAATAAAAATGAAGTCATAAATGAAAATTTTATTAACTTCTGACTAAAGAGAGTAAAAATAGGGGACTATTTAGACTGTCGTTGAACAGTTTTGCTTCCATTTGAAGCTTAGATTGCAACACTGGAGGGAAATTCTATTCCATTAACCTCTTTTAATATTATGACTGAGACAACTGAAAATAAAATTAACATTTCATTCTAAATGCTTTCATCCACATATGTAGAGTCACTGGAATTTATGTTATCTAATGTATATTTAATAATTTCTAAACTATGTTGTTGCTAACTTTGTTCTTTCTGCCTAGGACAATAGCAGAAGCCTTTTATCATATATTGTTTCATATTATCTTCGAAATTTTGATGAGGTAAGATAATTGTTACATGTTGTGATATTTTGTTATTTATTTGTTGAACTATTTGGCATTGGGGTTTTTTTGCTATTTGTTTTTCACCTTTGCCATTGAGTCTCATGTGTTTTTCTTGTTTATGCTAATGCTCGGCTGTCTGAAAATTATGTTCATCCTACTCATTAGGACGCTGGAAAGGAGCAGTGTGTATTTCCATTGCCGGAACCCCAGGACCTTTTTCAGGCCTCACAAATGAAATTCGAAGATTTTCAAAAAGATCTCAGAAAACTAAAGAAAGACTTGAAAGGTAACTTGCAATCTTGAACTCACATGTTCTATTTATACTTTTTAAATTAGAGTAGACAGTCTATTCAATGTTTTTGAAGACAGTAAATGAGTCATAACTATGTAGAACTAAATTTTTGGTGTATCACAAAATAAAAATTTTGCCAATATTCTTTTTTGTCGTTTTAGAAGTTATGTGTATTGGGATTTAGTAATTGAATAGCATCTTGTTATTCAAATAACAATCTATTTCATCAGGAGTAAGTTTGCATCTTGTTTTTATTTTATAGCCAGGAACATTTGGACATTCATCATGTCATGGTTGAACACAAATCATGTCATTGTTAAAAGATAAATAGTCCCTCCCCACTCTTGCTTGCCCAAGATTTTGTCACTTTTTAGCCTTCCTGGGAACAAAACATCTTCTTTTACATGTTCAGTCAAAAATGCATATGAGTATATTTTCTTATTGTTCTTCAAGAAACCTTATGTCCAATCATGCTGGAAAGAGCGAGAGTCAGAAGTTCTTTAGGGTTCTAAACTTAATATGTACACAGAAGCAAATAATTTGCAGATTTTTTCTAAGTAAAATTCTTTTTATTCGTTTTTCATGAGACTTATTTTTATGGTTACTGGCATTGACAACATCTCAGCTTCACACTTTACTCAAAAATTCAATCTTGCAAAGTAAGATTTTATAGTTTACAAATGATCTGATAAATGAGAGGAATGGTAGTCTTATTACCAGGGGTTATGTTTCTTTCAGTTGGTACATCACTTTGAAATGTTCACCCATTTTCTGTTAATATCTGCATGGCTTCTTCCTATCGATCTTAAATACACATGTATCCATCCATGAAATGCAAAGTTCTTAACAATACTTGTAGCTAAAACAAAGGTGTTAACCCACACCAGATAAGTTTGAAAAGGATGAGTTACTGGTGTTTCAGAACACTGTTTCCTCTGGAGAGCATTTTCCCTTTGTAGTAATCTGGTAGTTGCAGAAGATTAAATATTGAAGGACCACCTTAGCCATTTTTGTATGCTTTAGAAGGCTTGGGAGAAGATTGAATGCTGAGAGTTTACACTTTATGTAGGAGACAGCTTATACTCTCAAAATATCACTATGCTATGTTTTCCTAGCATGGTATTTTCCTGTTTACCCTTATGTTGGTACAACTGGCTATCCTAGAAATGGGGAGTTTCATAACCAAATAAATATTAAAAAGCCTCTCAGATTTGTAGTAGTTCTCCAGTTTGTTTGACCATAGAACACTTTTGTCCACAGAATGTCTGGTAGGTTCCAGTGTCAGCAGAATATATTCTGAGAAATGCAAGCCTAGTCATATGTATAGCTGAGCTTTGCTGTTTTCTTCTGAGGTGCCATGAAAGATTGGGGAAATAAAACCAGAATTCATGAAATAATGTAATGCTCTATGACTATTTTTGTAATATGAGATCCACTTGAAGAGCTATTTATAAGACTATCTAGCTCAGAGGATTAAGAACTGAAAAAAATCATGTTTTACCTCAATTTTTGCTTTTCCACTTGATTTGATTCGTTCCATAAAAATCATGTTTTATGACATAAGGAAGGAAATCTTGTGAACTGAAATGTAAATCTAATTTCTTAGAAGTAAAGACTTACCATGAATGTAGAATTTCATGTCAACAATGCGTAAAATAAAGCTGCATGTCCTTTTTAGGAATGAGGTGGGTATAAATAGATACGTATGCCCATCACACCACTGGAGCCAAATGGAAGATTATTGGATTATGTTATTTTAGATACAATTTTAGTAACTTAAAATAATGTCTGCTTTGATCACTGTAGCATAGTAAAAATAATTCCACTAAGTGATCAAATTAGATGATTCATTGAAGAAGTTTCAATCAGCTTTTCTACATATTTTTCCAGAGGTAAGTTGTTTTAAAAAGGTTTTTTAAAATGGAATAATACATATAAAGCATATATCCCAATACCCTTTATACCATACCCACTAGCTTCTGGCTGTTCATAATGAACTAAAAATAGAATGGTGTGATTAGTTTGATAAAGACAGATGAGCTATAACCGTGAAGTCACACATCTGTTGGGTCTATCATTTCTTATACTGCATAGTGAAGTGATTTTTATTTCTAAGAAAAGACTGAGAAATAACATGTTATAGCTCAGACATTTTAATTAGACAACTGAATCTTATTTTAGCATTTAATGAGAACATACACTGTGTTTGGTTTCTCTAGTTATTCCCAAGATTTCCATAGTTCCTCAGGGTGCTCTCCTGGGTTTCTGAGCTTAGTTTGTTAGGCAACCTGATGTGTCTTTGATCTCTTCTTGTTGTCAGCAGCTTTTCTTGATGAAGTCATGCCAAATGATGGCTTCTGTTCCAGTGCCTTTCTTGGGTAGGAATTGTAGCATTTGACACATGACTTAAATCAGCTCAACATGCACAGAGCATTGAGTAATTAAGTTACTGGAACTGAATAAGATGGACAAAAATGTTCTCATGCAAATTTTTTGTGTTCTCTCTCTCTCATAACTGACTAGAAAATATGTTTGATTCATTAGCTATGTCTTCAAGTTGAAGCAACATCTGTGTCCAGAGATATCTAGAAAAAATCAGTCTTTATACTTGGTTGAATTATTCGCTTACAACTATAGAACTATAATTATTACCGTTAAAATTGAAAATTTCTGTTGTTTCCTTCTTCCCTTTATGTTTGAAAGGAGGATAAGAAGTTGTTTTTAAAACTATTTTTTGTGTTATGATAATAAAATTAGTATTCAGATCAATGTAGGAACTTTAGACAACTTTGAAAAATTTAAAGAAAGTGTATTTGTCCTTCTATACCACAGTGATAAGTAATTTTTTATTTTGGTATATTTCTGTGTGATGTATGAATGTGTATAGCACATGCATGAATAATATAACTGGCATATATATAAATGTACTTTTTGTAATTTTTGTCCAATTTTATATTCTCTGATAGAAAGATAATTTATTTACATTTGCATTCTATTTGTTCTGATTGTTTATTGTTTTGATTAATTCCTCAATATTTCCTTCTTCACTCCTCCAATAATATTTTAAAAGGTATACATAGTATTCCTACTAATTTGTTAGTTGGTCTTCATGTGAACATGTTTTCTTAACTATGCAACTTTAATATCATAAATTTATGCAGTATAATTTTGCTTCCAAATAAAATGAGAGTTTTTGAATATTTTAACTAATAATTGATCTCCTTTTACTTTTCTCCCAGTGTTTACTGAAACTTCTAGTACTACTATTTTTGTTAAAAGATACTACTTTTTTTAATAATCAATAGGTAACATTTAAAAATATATTTAACTGTACTACCATTGTTACATTCCATTTTCTTGGTTCTCATTTGCTGTTCTTTCAGTGCAAGTAGTTGAGTATTAAATTCAGTCAAAAAATTTTTCACTTGTTTGTTATGTGATAGCCTTTCTGGGTATAGAATTTTAGATTGACTTATTTTATCAGCGCTTCAATTATAGCATTGTTTTCTAGTATATTTTTATAGCTGTCTTTTTTAAAATTATAGTCTTTTTTCTGATGAGTTGTTCAATTTTCTTATTTACCTTTGGCTTTCCATTGTGTTTATTTTATGCATATATTCTCTCATAGTTCTTTACCTTGGTCTGAACTTAGAACTTTCGACTGATGACTCCCTTAGTGTCTTAAACTCCCTCAGCCATTATTTGTTCATATATTATTTCATCACTTTTCTCCTCTTTTCCTGAAAGTCCTTTTAGATATACACTGGAGCTGCTTGATCCAATCCACCATGTCTCCTAACTCATTTTTAAAAAATCTTCCTTGATCCCACTTTCTTTGACCTGTTTTTCAGTTTATTAGTATCTTCAACTCTGTCCAATCTAGTGTTTATATTATTGATGTAGTTACTTTTAAATGATGATAATTTGTGTTTCTGGGATTTCTGTGATATTTTTATCATTCATTTTTGTCTCTTTAGTGATGTATTATTTTTAGTTTGGAGCATTATCTTTTATTTATCTCACTCCTTTTCAGTTTTTCTTTATTCTGAAGTAATCTCACGAATTTTAAGTTGTCTTTTTACTCTTTAGTTTCCATTATGGTGTTGGAATGTCAATATTAGAATGGTGTCAGAAAGTTATGGCCTTTGAGCTCAATCCAACCTGTATTTGAAGGTAAAGTTCCATTGGAACATGGGCATGCCTAAACATTTACATATTGTCTAACAATACTTTGTGTTATATCTCTATAGTTGTGACTGAGACTGCACATCTGTCTGTCCCTCACTCTTTTCCTTCCCTTGATCCCCAGACCCTTCTTTGTCTTTTCATTTTTTCAACTACTCTAACTTCACCTGTCTTTGGTACCCAGGTTGTCCCAAAGCTTTTATCAGGAGCATAGACTCTTGCCCTGTAGGCATTTCAAGTTTGTTGCAGATGCTGTCTTGTGTAAGGTCTTAGTTAGAGTTGCATCTACCTACTCATGCTGCCCCAGGCATACAGCTGCATACGTGTTGTCCTATAGGGAGCAGAAAATAGTAGAGGCCAGTTACACCACTGAGTTTCTAGTATTGACACTGGTTCTTTTCCCTCTTGTGTGTGCTCTCTGTATTCTACAGTTCCTACATAATCAAGGCACTCCCTCACCTCCACATTCACAATCCAGTGACTCCTTACTTCAGTCTTTTATTATTATTATTATTAACTTGGGCTTCTCTGCTGTTTCTGTTTTGAGGAGATACTTAAATTTTTAAAAAGCATACTACATCTGTTTAGGTTCCTCTTTTTATATTATCTTTCACTGCTATGTGTTTCAACAGAGGGAAAGCTCAGTCTGTGAACTCATCATTTGGTTTGACTGGACATCTGTATTCACTTTTACATCTTACTTTTTGTTTCTCACTGAAAATTATAGCAGGAACATTTTCTCATGCCATTTAATAGATTTTAAAAACCATTTAGAATGGTTTCATAACAATCCATCTCATGTTTGTGGC